GCAACCTTTAAAATTGTTACAATAAAATATAGAAAATTTGATGTGGCTAATTTTTTCAACGATTAATACATTTTTATAATTAGACTACTTTTCATAGACCTATAATATTTCAGGATATTCGTTAAGACTATGCATTCGATCACGATACATTTTTTAACAATTAACGGGTAATTACTGGAACGGTTTTTACCTTTCCAAAATCGATTCAGGATTTTTGGCAAAAACGTGAACGAAATATTTTGAGCTTTTCATATAAAAAAACGTTCTTATCTAGTATTATCGACCGGTTTTTAATTTTTTTAAATCGATGCAGCCGTTTTTGAAAAAACGTCGACGAATGTTTTGGCTTCTACTTATTTTTCAAATTTGGTGTTCTTATTGTTCTTATTTGGTGAAACTTATTTTTCAAAATGATTTAAAATGACTTGTAACGTGGAGAAAACGTAAAACTAGTAAATATTTTTTTTGCAAAAACATAAACTTCTCCTTCGGCAAATCGACGATTTAATTAAGACAAATATGTACAAAGTAATACATACATATACAGAATTGTTATGTTTTCTCTCGTTTCAAGTCATTTTAAATCATTTGACACCAAATTTGAAAAATAAGATTCTGAATAGTTTGATTCCAAATTTTTAAAAAAAAGTATGAGTGTGTCAACTTTGTGATCAACTTTGCAAAAAGTATGTGTTTGTGTGTGTGAGCCGATTTTTCGATCTTTTGTTCATGTTTTCTCGTAAATGTATGGACTGAAATAAAAATTTAAAAGTCATTCGATATATCTCAATAAGGACTTGATTAGTTTTGCACAATAATCTGCCAAGCCTTTTCTTTGTAATTAGCAGAAATTTATTTTAAATACTATTTTAAGTAGTAGACGTCAACTGTAATCAGTAGCAACAGAACAGACAGATGTTTTGGCATAGATTCTGATTAGAATCGCTCAAGCACGAAGCGAAATTGTAAACTTTGATGAATTTTTATAAATCAACCGCTTATCGTAGGCCTATAATAGTTTATTATGTTATTTCAGATAACTAAACCTATTGTTATACAAAGTTTTATGAAAATCGTCAAATTTGTTTTTTAAATAATTACGAAGAAACGGCTTGGGTGATCTGTACCAAAAACTAATCAACACGATTCCGAACTAACATCTTTCGAACAGTTTTTGAATGTTTAAAATCGATTTAAAGTTTTGGGTTAAAACGTGGACGAAACTAGCGGTGTATGGCATCGTGCCTTAAGGCAAATCGGATGCTTAGTTCTCTCAAAAACTGCCATTTTTTGCACATTTAGCTCGGTATCTCCAAAACGGCCGGACCTGCCTTTGCCAAAATCTAATCACCATTTCTCCCCGTCATTACAAATTGAATGTCTTTTAGATCATTCAATTCGGATGCTCCATTTTCTCAAAAACTCGATTTCTATTTTCTGCACTCTTTGCTCCGTATCTCCAAAACGACTAGACCTGCCTTTGCCAAAAACTAATTCACACATCTTCTTGTTAATAGGAATCGAATGTTTTTTGAATCATTCAAATCGGTTTATCCGCGTGCCCGAAAACGTGGACGAAAAATTGTATCCATACATACATACACACATCAATTTTTTGTGAGGTATGCCAAAATGTTCAGAAACCTTTAAAATGTGAAGAAATGTAAAAATTTTCAAATTTCGATTTTTGGACGATTACAATGACTTCCCCTATGGGAAGTTAAAAATTACACGTTTTTACTAATTACAAAGAAAAGACTCTGTCGATCGTGACGCAAAACTGACCAACGCTAATCGCTATCTGGTTACATCGAATGGCTTTTGAATTTTTGAAATCGGTCCAGCCGTTTTTGAGAAAACGTCGATGGAAGGTCAAAAATCGGCATTCACACACACACACATGCCAAATTTGGTCTCATTCTATTCAGAATGACTTGAAACGTCGAAAAAAACATAAAACTAGCAAATCGGATTTTTTCGTGAGAACGAAAACTCCTTCGGGACCTTAACAATAAAGTATGAAAATTTTACTACATTAAAAGAATTTGAAATAAATCGATCCGTTACAAGAGTTTTATTTTGCTGTTTTGCAAACACATACGACTTTTCAAACACGATAAAGATTATTTATAAAATGATAAAAACACTTATCGCTAGAATAATTTTTATTTAGCGATTAAAATCTTACATAATTATTTATGAATATATTTTACATAGTTACACAAATGCTATCGAGTCTTCCATATAGACGACAGAAATAATGCCCTGACAGTTCAAGGTTAGAGCACGTTTTAGAAACTTGTAGTCTAGTGTCACTTTTTAATTTCGTTTATTTTATATTTATTATAATTTAATAATGGACAGGTGAGTAGACAACAGATAATATAATTTTATTATATGTTTAATGTTATAAAATTGTGCAATCGTAATAATAATAAATTTAAAGTGGTTTATTTGCATTAGAAATATGCTAACCTCAAAAATTTGAGTTATTTGGTTGAACTTCTTCCTAAAAATATTCTTCTACGTTGACCTTACCTCTTTTAAACTAATTAATGGCGCTTATATATTTAATTTAATAATGCTTTACCTTAGTTCTGGTGTTTAAGAAACACATATTGGTTTTGTTAAATAAAATTCAGAATAATTATTGAATATTTTTACAAAAAATTATATAAATGGTGTAATTTTTTGTCTCATACTTGTGCACATTTCTAAAATTTTTATATACATGGTATAAAAATTTCAGAAATTTAATTTAGTATTTAATTATTGTGAGTTGCCACTACACACTTCACAATTTTATTATATGTTCTGTTAGCTTTTTCCTATTTTTAAATTACTTTTTCCCTTTGTTTAATTATCAATTTATTGTAGATCAAATGTTTCATTTACAAGTTCTGCACATATATATGACGTTCCTATTGTTAATCGAATAATGCTTTACTCTAGTTCTATGGTATAAGAAATACATTGTTTTTGTTCAATAAAATTCAGTTATAATTATTTCTAAAATTTCTATATAAATAATGTAATTTTATTCCCATACATGTTGTTATAACACTTGATTCTATTCGGCATACATTTGTTAACAAAAGTACAAACAATTATGTATCGATGAATGATTATTGTTTGTAATGTCTTGAGATTCTGACAGAAAATATTTGCTTTAACGGAATAGATTTAAACGAGATAGATGAAATATAGTCACTTTGTATTTTCAACTTCTAAAATCTTTATCAAATGAAATTTAATTGTTGTGAAAATGCAATTCTATATACAATTATGTTTATTGTTATGTCTTTATTATTACATACTACACAATTTTATTATATGTCTTGTTGTTAACTTTTTTTTCTAAATTTCTAAATTACTAATATTCAATGCTTTTTCCATTTTTATAATCATCAATTTATCATAGATTTAAATGTTTTATTTATAAATTTTGCACATACATCTATATGGCTTTCATATTTTTAATCTAATAATGCTTTACACTAGTTAAAATTCTAGCTATAAAATTCAGTAATAATATTTAATATTACTACACAAAATTAACACTTGATACTATTCGACATACTATTATTAAAAAAAGTACCAAGAATTATATGTAGATTAACAATTACTGACTGTGATGTTTTGGAATCCAGGGATAGTGTTTGCTTTTTCGATTGAATTTCTTTGAGATACTACTACATACTTTTTCATAATTATAGTTCTTGTTTTCTTTATTACCAATATTCAGTTGCTTTGCATAATTATCAATTTATCAAAGATTCAAATGTTTTACTTTTAAACTTACATAAAATAAATTTTGCACATGCATTTGACGTTCCTATTTTTAATCCAATAATGTTTTACCTTAGTTCCAGGGTATAAGAAACATATTGTTTTTGGTCTATAAAATTCAGTAAATTTATTAAATATTTCTACACTTGATACTATTCGACATACATTTATTAATAGAAGTACAAATAATTATATATTGATTAATGATTATTGATTGTAATGTCTTGAGATTCAAACATAGTGTACTTACTTCTTCAGGTAGATTTCATCGAGATTTTTAATTTTTTTTCAATTTCTAAAATCTTTATCTAATTAAATGTAATTATTGTAGTTACAACTATATCTTACATAATTTTATTATATTTTATAATATGTCTTGTTGTTTCATTTTGTGTTTACATTACTAATATTCAATGCTATTTCTCTTTGCATAATTATTAATTTATCAAAGATTTGAATGTTTTATTTATAACCTTGCATAAAATAAATTTTGCACATACTTATCACGTTAATATTTTTAATTTAATATTACTTGCCTTTAGTTTTAGGGCATAAGATACACATAGTTTTCGTTCTATGAAATTCAGTATAAAAATTTAATAGTTGAACAAATTATATGAATGCTGTAATTTTTCTCATAAATATTGCTAGAATAATTTATACTATTCAATTCACATTTATTAATCAAAGTACAAACAATTATATATTGATTAATGATTATTGATTATTGATTGTGATTTCTTGAGATTCAGATAGACAGTATGTGTTTCTTCTGATGGATTTCATCTAGATAAATGAAATATAGTTAAAGAATGTGTACATTTTGTGTTTTCAATTTCTAAAATCTCATTTGCAAACCTTTGGGTACCATTTTTTCTCTTATAGAGCATATTGGTTATCTGATAAAAATCTTCAAGATTTTATTTTTGAATTCTTGTATTATATTGATATTACTTATACTAGCTGCCATATGCTCATGTAGTTTTTAAAATGTTTCTATTATCAATAGATCATTATGGGCTGATAACAAATAAATATAATATAATATATAATTTACTTAATTTTTGTTATTATTATTATGGTTAGACAAAAATTGTTTCACATTTAACTGGAATAAGGATTTTTATCACTGAATTTATTTTTTTTGTATATTAATAATTTAAAATATTTTTTTACTATAATTATTTTACTAATAATTATCATTTTTCTAGGAAATATTTTGGTATGGACACAAGCCGGGCTCTGCAGTCTAAAAATCCATTTCGCAGACCGTGGCTTGATGGCAATGGTGCTGCTGCAGCAGTGGCTGGTAACACTGGTCTGAAGGGAATTATTGCAGGAGGAATTACAGGAGGCATAGAAATTTGTATTACATATCCAACAGAATATGTCAAAACACAACTGCAATTGGACGAGAAAGGTAATTTAAAGATATAATAACCATGTATAAACAATTGTTGGGGTTTGCTTAAAATCTATTCAATTATAAGGTTTCTAAAAAAAATATTTTTGAACTTTTGTTTTTAATATTATGAAGCCTAATTTATTAGCTTTGGACAATTGAAAAACACTTAGCTGAAAATTAAATAATTTCTTTTAGTGATTTAAAATTCATAATGTTTCTTTTTGTTCCTTATGACTAATTGCAGTAAAATATTAATTTGATAAGAAGTTTATCTCTTGCTATTAGATATGATTGTATCATGCTATATTAGCATATATGATACACATTACAAATATAATAAATCATATCTGATTACATGTTTGTTTGCTTTGGTATTTTTTTGACAAAATATTAGCATTGAGATAATGATGCAGTGTTCTTGTATTTTTTATATTTACAAAACAGGTGGAGCTAAAAAATATACTGGAATTGCTGATTGCGTTAAGAAAACTGTGAAGGGTCATGGTTTTTTCGGTCTATATAGAGGATTGAGTGTTTTATTATATGGATCAATACCCAAATCAGCAGTAAGGTAAAAATATATTATATAAATAGTAATATTTTAGAAGAATCACTTATGCTTTAAGTTCCTTTTCATAGAAATAATAAAACACAATTAAATAAATATTGATTAGAATTACTTTTAAATTCTAAATATGTTGTTTTAATCATGTTAATCAACTGTCCCAATGATATTTCTTTCTAATGATTTGCTGCAGATTAGGAGCATTGAAAAGTATAAATATATTAAATATTTTTAAAAGAATTACTTATTCTTCAATTTCTTTTTCTATAGAAATAACAAAACACATCTAAAAGATTAAATAAAATTACACCTACATGCTAAATATTATATTTACCAATTAATTATCAATCATCTCAATTATATTTTTTAATTTATTTTAGATTTGGAGCATTTGAATATTTCAAAAGCAACCTCTGTGATGAACATGGTGACTTGACCACCGGTGGTCGTTTGTTAGCCGGTATGGGTGCTGGTTGTCTTGAAGCTATTTTGGCTGTGACCCCCATGGAAACTGTAAAAGTTAAATTTATTAATGATCAGAGATCTGCTAAACCTCGTTTTAGAGGATTTTTCCATGGCGTAGGATTGATAATTAAGGAAACAGGTTAGATTCATGAAAATTATTTAAACTAAATTAGATTTTGGCTATAAAATTTTATTTGGCGATGGAATGACATTGTTTGAGAAAAGTTTGTTTATAGGCAATTCAAACTTTTTAACTTGTGAAATGACATACTTTATGATTTTTTATATATTTTTTTCTTAAGCTATTAAGTACTTTATGAGTACAGAACATTTTGGTTGTCTGTATACAGTTTTGTTTATTGTTATGCTTTTATTATGACTACTAATATTTTATTTTTTATTTTAGGATTCCAAGGTATATACAAAGGTTTAACACCAACCATTCTGAAACAAGGTTCGAATCAAGCAATTAGATTCTACTGTATGGAAACTATGAAAGAGCTATACAAAGGCGGTGACAGGGACAAGAAGGTGCCAAAACCCATTGTTGGAGTTATGGGTGCCATTGCAGGTAATTGTTTAAGATCTATTTGGGATTAATTTAAAATATTTTCTGGAATTATTCTAAAATTTAACAAATGCTTATATATTTGTATGCTTACGTTCTGTTTTGGGGATATGGAATATCTATTTATTCTGTAACTCTTTAAACAGACAAAAATTTGAAATGACAACAGGCATAAAACAAAAATATATAAAAACTCCTTACATACCAAATGTATTTGAATTGTTATAAAAAAAAATCTAAACCTTTTCAATATAACTTACAATATACTACATAATTTAAACTTTGTATATAAAAACTAAACATTAACTATATCAAGCATGAAAAGTACAACACTGTATGTAAAATAAATTGCAAACACTGTCCAACTCTTACAATCAAAATTATATCCTAAATATTTATTGATATACATAATGAATAATATTTTTTATGAACTCTTACTACAGTCATCAATCTTGCATTTAAAACGTGCACTTAACTACTATATTCTGGTATCATAAACTAAACAACAGTGCTCAAAACCAAACAACATAACAAAAAATATATATCTGTTAAAAAATTGAAAACGTGGCCGTTTTCTCATGATAGCGATGTCACCCGATTTACAAATTTATTTTTCCTCTACTTTCAAATAGTGTTATTAAAAACACCATACTTTGCATGTTTTGATAATGGTGTTGGACATTTTCAACATATTCAATTTCATTTAACAACTTGTTTTCATGATATATTCAACTCAACATTAAAATACTTTATTATTCCTTTTAGGTGCAGCATCAGTTTTTGGCAACACGCCAATTGACGTCGTAAAAACAAGAATGCAGGGCTTAGAGGCTTCAAAATACAAAAATGCCTTTGATTGTACATTGAAAATTTGGAAGAATGAAGGACCAGCTGCTTTTTACAAAGGTACTGTACCTAGATTAGGCCGCGTTTGTGCGGATGTAGCAATCACATTTATGATTTACGATTCCTTCATGGAGCTGTTCAATAAGGTTTGGCATTAAATTAGGTAGTAGATAGTAAAATGCACTGATGAGAAGCATTTATAAGTTATCATGAACTAATATTCTGCAATTTACAGCTTCAATTGAATAATATTTGTTCATGCAAAACACTATGTATGTGCATTAAGTTTTAATACACATCTGTTTTTTAAATGTTCACTGAAATTATATAAATGCTCTTTGTTGGAATGCGATTAAATAGTGAAAGTGTTTAACAAAATATTTTAGGAGAAATTTTGATTAAAATTATTTTTTTCTGGACTTCTTAAATACATTTAGGTTTGAATTTGAAATATAAATTGTGTAGCAAGTGATTTCAAACAACACATTGCGAGATATGATGCACATATTACTTTCATTTTTAATATTATATTTTTTTTATCTTGTTGAATTTTACATATAATTCTAAACTAGAGTTGTTGACTAGTTGTTATAATTATCTATTGAAGTGTTTTTATAATCAGAGGTGTTGATGCAAAAAAATTTATTGCTAAAATACAATATATATTTTATTTTGCTCCATATACTTGAACTCTATTTTAAAAAAATGTTGCATTTATCTTATTTGAAAAATTTGTTATTCAAAATGTTTTTAAAATTAATTTTATATTGTGCATTATTTGAGGTATTATTTTAACGGACTATGTTTAGTACTACGATTTGTGAAAACTAATTCTATATTTTTTATGTAATAATAAACGTAATATGTAGCATGTTGCGTTTCATGAAACCATAAATCATATTAATTCTTGGGATCTATTTTTACATTTTCTGTGAGTCTTAATGCATTTATAAATATCTTTGTTTTAATGAAAATTATTTCTAAACTTTTATCTCGAAATCTGCATTAAGGAATGTTTTCATAACATTTTTATATAATCTAATAGATATGCATTCCTTTCATGAACAATATCGTAATAAATCGTTGTTTATATATAAATATATTTTTGATAAATATATGATATATCTTTTATATGTGTACTGTATATAAATGTTATTAAATGTATAGTCAAAATGTCGACCAAAATAACTGTAAAAACTAAAGACCTAAAACTTTGTCTAATGTACTAATGACCTATCGAGCTTAACACATTTTTTAAGAGTTAAGAATTTTAAATTTAATTCATAGTATTAAGATCTTCTAATGGTAATATTTCTGTTTTGAAAACTGCAACTATCTTATTCATCAGTAAAAAAAAAATGGATCTGTGATTCTCTTTGCAATATTATAATATTTTGAACACAATCTTATCCAATTCAATCCAATAAGGTTTTATTATTGATGCATATTTACTTTTAAACGTTGGCACAAAAATCAATTTATTATGTTATTATTAACCACATTTATTGTTGGCACAAAAATCAATGTGAACTACATTCTAAATGTCCTTCCTTATTTCCATTATTATTGCATTTGCTCAATTTGTCTATAGCTTATCAAATATGTCGACTATTTGATCTTGTTCTAAACCTTTCATCTTGCTTTGTCATAAATTTATTTGTAAAATTAGTTCAGATTTCAAAAGTTTTGTATCTTGAAAGAGATTTCCATTGATGTGGTAATTCAGGCTAAATTTTAATTAAACTCTTATCTGAAAATGATTTTTAGAGTATCATTATACAATGCTTTCAAATTATCAATGTTTTCCTCAAGCCTCAATTTGGATTTTTGGGTACTGTATAAATATTTGAGTAATATCTGTTATTTTAGACAATAAATAGTATTCTTCTGTACTTCTAATTTCAAGTTTTTTTACATATAAAAGTTCTTATGTTGGGATAGTAAGAATTGAGCTGCAGTTGTGGATTTTTGAAGGTTTAACATTTTTTGGAGTTGAACTCATGTTTACAGTTTGATTTACGAGATACGATGGGGATTTTGAGAGCCTGATTATTTCATCGGATTTCAATCCAAAGCACTACTATTATTATTTATATTTAATGCACCTCCTTTTTTATGTTTTAATGGTATTAATCTGTGTCCTATTCACTTTATCTGGACTATTTTATTTTTATTTACTTCATTGATCCAATATGATGAATTGGAGCTGCTTTTATGGAATTTTGTTCGATTTTTTTTTTTTTTGGAGTCCAACTGATGTTTAAATGTATATCAATCTATATCAAAATGCTTTATTAAGAACTTAATTATTAACAATATATAAAACGATCATAAAAATTAAAGAACAATCAACAAATTAGCACAATTATCTTCTTCAATTGCTGATCGCTTATTTCGATGGGGTATTCTGTTTGAAATTAGTCAAATCTTCTCTTGCAGCAGCATTTATATTCCTTAGTGGTAAAATTACCATTATTAGAACTTCTTGGATTTTTTTTACTGGTGATTTCAGTTTATCAGAATCAATATTTACATTACAAATTCTGCTGGAATTTTGGATATTTAGTTGGAGCGGTAAAATTACCATTATCAGATTTTTTCGGATCTTCTTTACTAGCTTAGAATTTATACTTAAATCACTATCTTCAGGTTCAGTTTCTCTAATTTCAATGTTTAGATATTGTTGATTTAATATATGTAATATCAAATGTTAAATTGATTGTATTTTTTTATATTATAAGCCTAAAATGTATCAAAATATATCAATCATGGTCAGACCATATCTAATGTACTCTAGTAATAATAGTTACTAAAATGATTTTTTTTAACTAAAGTATTTTTATGCAGAACAACATCAGGCACTTTTCATGTGTTCAAGTTGTGCCATTTAGTCAAACATAATATCTAATGTAATATGCAATCAATGTACTGAGTGTTTTGTAAGTAAAATGATAAGTATGTTTTAGAAATTAGATTTTTATATGTGTAAAGTATATTTTGTTTACTAATACACATAGACTCGATTTCTGTTAATGTTTAAATTACTAATATAAAATCTACTGTAATTATCAAAGTTGTATATTTCATATTGGATAAAGGTTTAAAAAAATGTAATATATTTATTTATTAGATTTTTATTGATGTTCTGAAATGTTGAAAAAATGTATTTTATTAACACGGTGTTTGTAAATAAATGTTTGAAAACTATTGATCTGTTCTTATTACATATTATAATAGTTTATATACTTTTTTTTATTTATTTATACTATTAATCTTCAATAAGTTCTAGAGATGATGATGTAAATTAAGATCAAATTTTTGTACAATTAAGGTATAAGGTAATGTTGCTTAAGTCGTACCTCAGCTATATTTTGGTTGATATTTGTAAATTGCATCAATTTGTATTATCATCAGCATATTATGATAGGAATGCCTGATCGACCAAGAAATACATAGCTGTTTGACAGTTTGTTATTACCAATTCATTCGAAGATAGACCCGTAACATAGCATTACCAAAACATATCTATTTTGTCTGAGAATTGGCTCCTTATACAACCTCACCCTATATCTGCAGTGTTACAAAGTGTACAAATTATATATTCATCATCCAGAATCAACTGAAATCACATTTATAATTAAAATGATAATCACTTCGGTCGATACTATATCTAAATTTTATTATTATAGACAATCGCCATTTTTGTTTCCATTCACAGAATTTTCTAGATGGTATTCATACTAGATCATCGCATTTTGGGTACTGATGGTGTTTTATTTTGATTATTATGATCTGAAACAAAATTTTCGGGCCGTTTATAATGTAGATTAGACGGGAATATATTTTTGTATGATTTTTTTTTCGAAATTGTGCCACTATTTTTTTAAAAATTGTTCCAAAATTTAAATAAGGAAATATATATTTTTTGGTATTAATTGGGATATAAAATTTGGTAATTAAAATGGATCCGTGCAGAATTGCTATGCTTAAAAACAATCCTTTTCGGAGACCATGGATGGTGGATCATGGAGCAGCCGCAACGCCAGGGAAAACAAGTCTGCTGAAGGTAAGGAAATATAATTATAAATTATATATATGTGTATATATATATATATATATATATATATATATATACAGTGGCGTCGGAACCGTGTGGGCTGTGTGGGCTTGAGCCCACCCATGAATTTTGATGGGGGGGCTCAGCCCACCCATCAATTTGGGCTAATTTCTCTAAAAAAAAAAACGAGCCCACTGCCTGTCTATCAAAAAAAAAAAAAAAAACGAGCCCACCCATCAAAAATTTGGTTCCGACGCCACTGTATATATATATATATATATATATATATCTTGAGCTTTAGATCATATAATTAAAACATGTCCTAAATTAATACACTTATTAAGGTATAATTTCTCCAAAACTTTCTATGAGCATATTGTGAATGATATAAGCATATAATTTCTATTATTTTTTTTCGAGTTATTAACATAAAATAGTTATTAAAATGAAAATATACAAATCAAAGATTTCTATAGAATTTTTGTACATATTTTAAAATCCGTGCATTATTGTTTAACTGGGTGAGTAAGGATGATAATAACATAAACGGCTATGAAAATATTGTAATATTATTCGCTATAAATCTGCAAAAATATATTTTATACATCGTTTTAAATTTTTTAATACATTTTTTACCTAGGCTGCTATTGCCGGAGGAATAACTGGTGGGTTGGAGATTTCACTATCTTATCCGACAGAGTACGTTAAAACTCAATTGCAATTAGACGGAAAAGGTGAGTATCATAAAAAAGTTTACTGATTTATTAGTTTGTATTTGATGGTAAATGAGCTCATAAGATCATAGAAGAATTAATTATTTCGATTGGTCATTTGTGAAAATACAATGAACAAAGAAAGCACATTTGCAAAAATATTAATATATTATTATTATTTAAGGTGCCGATAGGAAGTATAGCGGTGTACTGGATGTTATTACAAAGACTGTTCGTGAAAAAGGCGTTTTTGGTTTGTACCGAGGACTTAGCATTCTTCTGTACGGATCCATTCCAAAATCGGCAGTCAGGTGATTTTTTCAAATAAACATAAAAAAATTAAACAAAACTATTCTGAATTCCTGATAATATCAGGAGATATTTAGCATAAATTTTCCATAGCATAGTATCTATCGCTAATAGAAATATTATCTATTTTCTTTGATACTCACTTTTTTTTTTAAATTTCCAATTATGAAAGGTTCGGCTCTTATGAAACTGTCAAGAACCAAATTCAAGATGAAAATGGGGAAATTACCGGAGGGCAAAGGTTGTTCGCCGGTCTGATCGCTGGTTGCATGGAGGCGATATTTGCTGTGACTCCAATGGAAACCATAAAAGTAAAATTCATCAACGATCAGAGATCACCAAATCCAAGATTCAAAGGATTTTTACACGGAGTCAGTCTCATTATCAAGGAATCAGGTTAATTTAA